GGGACTGGGGCCACTGTCTGTCCTCCCAGCAGGGGCACTGAGGTCGGGCACCCAGGGGACGGGGCCACTGTCTGTCCTCCCAGCAGGGGGACTGAGGTCGGGCACCCAGGGGACTGGGGCCACTGTCTGTCCTCCCAGTAGCTCAGAGGGGGGCTGTCCCATCTACCTCCCCAGGGCATCGTGCGAGGCCCAGGTATACACAGCCAGGGGCAAGGGCTCCAGGGATGCCCCATTAGACACTACTGGCTGCTGGCTCTGGGACCCTTTGCTGGCTCTGGGACCCTTCGCTGCCCCAAAACACGGGCTCTAACTGCCCTCATGGGATTTCCCAGCCACCCCACCCCACCCAAGGTCCAAAGAGGGCCAGTGGGCCTGCCTCCCTTCCTTCCAGCAGCAGGCTCTCGCTCACCAAGTTCAGGCGCCCGGGGCAGAGGCAGTGGGGAGGGAGGAGCAACCCCAGGGGGCTGACCATTATGACATCACCCACAGCCTGGGGGCCCCAGAGGCCGCTGGGGCTGCAGCTGACCCAGCCCCGGGCCCCTCTGGCTCCAGCCCACCATGGGACCCTCATCAGGCTCCCGGCTCCCACAGCCCGACCGACCACCGGTCTCCCTGAGCGGGCGTCCAGAGCTCTGCAGGGCAGCAGCTCAGGGGCAGGAGCCCCTTCCCAACACGCTGACGGTAAGGGCCACGGGCCCCCCGCTTGCCCAGCCAAGAGAGAGGCAGGGCCAGGGAGCAGAGCCCACACCACCATGAAGTACCAGAGCCGGGGCAGCTCGGCCAGTCCCACCCATGTCCTGTAGCCGAAGAGCCTCAGCCTCAGGGACAGAAGCCCAGCACCCGGCAGGCCCAGGGGCCAGCCCCGCGGGTGGTGGTGGGGGCAGGGGGCCCTGACTCAAGCAAACGGACCCAGACACGGGGACAGGTGGTACTTACTTTTGCTACAGGTCCTAGGACAGCATGAAGGAAAAGCAGCAGGGTTAGCGGCAGTGGGAAAGGCTGTGCTTGTCAGACAGCAAAGCGAGGGCTGCACATGTGACAGGCGCGACACCTGCAGGCGCACTCAGGAGGCCAGCATGATCCACGTGGGCGAGCAAGACCACCCTCCCACTGGGCTATGTGGCCAGCCAGGTGGCCTCACTGTCCATATGCAGCCGCTGGGGCCTGTCTCATCCCACAGGGCTCGATTCCTACAGCACCAGTGCCCACACCATGGCCGGGGCAGCAAGTCCTTCTGGGCCACACACAGGACTGGCTTGAGACACCAAACGCTTTCAAGGAACATGAAGTCTTCCCAAGCACCCTCTCCCCCCAGGTCTACACAGAAGATGGTATGTTCACCCTGGTTCAGATGAAAACATTCCTGCCCTAGATCCACAGTGGGGCAGCCCAGGGGACTGAGGCTACAAGAACCCCCATGTCCTGGGTAGGTCAGACGAGCACAGCTGACAGGGTTGGGCGCCCTCCAACAGCCCAGCACCCGAGAGTCGGGGGCCCTGTCTTCCCTCCCCATCCCAGGAGCTGCTCACCCAGGCCCTGCCTCCTCTGTCCACCCCCCCCACTGCTGCCGGCACCCAGGGCACCCCAATGCCGGGTCTCCTGTCCACCCCCCACTGCTGCCAGCACCCTGCCGCAGGGCCTCCTCTGTCCACCCCGCACTGCTGCCCCCCCAAGAGCACCATCCCATACGGTAAGAGCAGGTCTGAGTCTGTGTGCTCCCTTCCCAGACAGCAACACCCACGTCCAAGAAGCAACATGCCCCCAGAAACTCCCTTTTCCACCAACAGCCAGGCCCAGTGTGGCAGGGACAGCCAGAGGTTGGGCGAAACACGGTGGGGCATGGGACAGAGCGCTCTGGGAGCAGTGACAGAGCCCCTCGAGGACAACGGCTGCACCCCTGCCCCAAGCACATCAATGCCTTTCCCAAGAGGGACCTGGGACACAGCCTGTTCCGGCTGCCAGGACCTGGGGCTCTATCACCTCCTCCCAGGAGTCCTGCCCTGTGGCCTGGGCAGCAGAGGACGCTGGCCCAGCAGGTGAGGCTAGGCTGGCCCGCAGTCTGGCTAGAGTTGGCAGGGGAGAACTGCACCTTGGCACCTCTCCCGGCACCCAGCCAGCCTAGCACCCAGCACAGTCTGCGACCAGGGAGCCTTGTGGAAGGAACACCGTGGGGATAAGGATTCCAGGGGTCTGCAGGAGACCAGGCACTTCATGGCCACTGAGGTTGGGAGGCAGCTGGTGCCAGCTGGGGGAGCAGGCAGGCAGCAGTCGCCAAGGACGCTCCTGGCTGCAAGGCTTCAGGTCCACGGCTCAAGGGCTGGGCCGCGCATAGCAGAGGGCGTTGGGGCAGCCTCCCTCGTGCGCTCCACTGTCAGCATCTGAAGCCACTGCAGCCATGCACACGATGGGTTTGCCCCAAGCCTGCCCACCCCGAGGCCAGGCGGAGGACGTGATGCGGTCTGAGGCCAGCTTGGCCTGTGAACCCACCCCAGCAGGGCAGCTTCCACCCGGCTCTCTGGACTCACTGAGCAGACGCTGGGCCGGGCCACATCAGCACCACTCAGCACAGCTTCCAGTGGGGTTACCCAAAGCAGCAGCTGCTGGCACCCGGCCTGTGGCCAACAGCTGAGCAAGCGTCTTCACCTCCAATCAGAGCACTACACAGGGCGCCCGGCAGTGAGCCCTCCTGCCCTCCCCGGGGGAAACTCCACAGCCCAGGTTCCTCCGTACCGCTCCTGCCCCGACTCTGGTGTGGCGCGTGCATCCTGACACACCAGCCACCACACAGGCGTCCCAGGCCCAACCCCACCTCGGTCGCTTCTATTTTCAGCCTAGCCCAGGCACCCTTCCCCCCAGCACTGGCCTCACACTGGCCACTCGCCTGCCATCTACACCACTTCCTGGCCTGACACACAGCTGCAATACAGCTCCCAGCACCCACGGCCAGCTCACAGGCTGGCAAGCGTGTGGGCTCGGTCAACACGCAAGAGCCACAGCCCCCAAACCTAGAGCCAGTGCACAGCCCCCAGGAGGGGCTCCATCCATTCATCTTTTCCAAACAGTAGGCTCCTCTCACGAAGACCCACTGGGTGCCCACTGGGTGCTGAGCCCCACAGCCAGCCTGCCACCCTGGGCACAGGGACAGAGGCCCTGCCCAGCATCAGACTCTTCTGAGGACAGCGGGCCCTGACTCAGGCCAGGAAGCCAGGCCGCATCATCTAAGGTGCCAACTTCACCACGTGCCTCTCTGCAAGGGTTGATTTGTGTGAAGGGAAAGGCAATGCACCAGAAGCGAGTGACTGGCACAGTGCACCGAGGAAAAGGAAGACACAGAGGGGCAGGGGAGGTGCAGACAGCAAAGGTACATCCTGTCCCATACACGACGCTGCACTGTCAGCGGGGCCCAACGTTAACCTCTGGGTAACGGATGGGGAGACAGGCTGAGCGACCAGCCCTGTCCGGGCCAGAGGAAATATATCACGAGCAGGAGTAAGGTCGGTAGATGATACTCCAACGTGCAAATCCACGTGAGCTGTAACGACGCTCAAACACACAGCAGGGCTAGGAAGGAACAGGGCCGTAGCTTCTTGGTCACAGCCAACCACCGTGAGGGAGTGAGGAGCTGGACCTGTGGGCTCAGGATTGTGGTCGTAGGGGACATCAAGCTCAACTGACTTAACATGTTACAAAAAACACTGTTCTACATTCTACTGCGGCAGGTAGCAACTGAGGTCTTAAAAACTTAACAATCGGTCATCTAGATGCAACAATGGGTCTCTCCTAGTCCAGAGGAAGTAAGAATGAAGAAAACCAAAAACGCATGGAAACAATTAGACCAAGGGACTGCTACACCATGGGATCCTCGGCCTATATGACCATGAGACCAGAAGAACTAGACGGTCCCCGGCACTTGTGGTCAACCACTTGGAAAGATATCGGTGCAGGAGATCCTGGACACAGTGGGAGATCAATGTGGAACAAAACTCAAATTCACAAAAAAAGACCAGCTTTACTCATTTGATAGAGCCTGCAGAGAATCCCCAAGACTATGGCCCCTAGTTACCCTTCAAGTCTGGAACTGAACTCACTCCCGTGGCTTCCAGTCAAACGACAGACATGTGGGTGAACATTTACATCAGGTGGATACAGTCCTTAGGACAATCAATCCTGGGAGAACAGAAAGGCAGTATTTGCACAGGGAGACAGCTCAGGGGGCAGGAATGCATAAAAAAGCAGGGAGGAAGTGGACGAGAGCTGTTACACTGTGTGGAACTGCAGTTACTGTCATGAAACAAAACGCTTATGGACTGCTGTATAGATAGTGAATCTTCTGTGTAAACTTTCACCCAAATCACAATAAAAGTAATAACAAAAATCAGGTGTCCCTCTGGCTGAGGTGGGACTCGGGCCAAGAGCTATGCAGACTCACACAAGGGAGCCAACCACACTGGCTGGGCACAGGTCCCAGGCAGAGCCCCAGTGCCAGCACGGTGAGAGGAGGGTGGTTCCTGTAATGCCCCACCCCACCATCCAAAGCCCTTTCAGGACGGCCCACCTGACGCCTAACTCAGGCCTGGTGCACAGAAGGTAGTGCGACGTCCACCTGCAGCCTCCAACCCAGGGTCAGAGCTGGGGGAGTCTGGATGCAACGTGACAGTCAGAGGCCGCTCCTGCCCTGGCACTTCCCCGCGCCAGGCTGGGCGTGCCCCCAGATTGAGCTA